CATCAAAGCGCTGATTTTTTTGGCGATCGTTTAATGAGTGTGGAACCCAATTTTCGAGTTTTTTCACTTTTCCAATCGCCTTGAGGTGGTCAGCGACGGTCGTTTTACTGACTTTGAGTTGCTCTGCAAGTTCTCGAACAGTTGTTTTGGGGTTTTCTTCCACCACTGATCGCAGAACATCATCATTAAGAGAGGAAGGCCTTCCACGACCTTCTTCATCTTCAAGGCTGAAATCTCCCTCCCGAAATTTTTTAAACCACCTTTGCACAGTGCACTCATTAACACAACCCTCGCCCCAGACTTGGTTAATGTTTCTAGCCGTTTGGGCTCCGCTTCGGCCGAGTTTAAACTCGTAAAAGAAAATCGTACGAAATTCTCGCTTTGACATTATAAGGATGACTGAATTATTTCCAAGTAGCGGAATGCTACAGAGGTAAACAAACAATATCATTTGGAAGAGGATTAATAAGTGTTGACATTCATACAAATGAGTAATCCTGTAAACGTAAACAGAATATTTTATATAGATTTTTTTTAATGAAAACTTAAAATCCTGCATTATTTTCCGGACAACCCAATATATTGTTTAGTTTAAGTGAATGTGTTAAGTTACGAAAGGATCAAAGGTGTAATGGCAATAAAGAATAATAATTGTAAGATTTTAAAAGAATCTGAAAATAAATTTCTGCAAGATTATGGCACACAAATGTCGATACGCCCTATAAATCCAAAATACGAATTATATTTACTAAACATGCACCTTCTGATATTTTTTAGACAAAAAACAACTTTATAAACGTACAAAATAGAAAATAAGAGGGAAAATAAAAAATTAAATTTTAATTACAAGCATTTTTATTATACGTGAGACTAATTATTATCAAACACTTTGCAGATTGTAATTGTATTTTCTTACCTATAATTTTCCTTACGTTTTATTGATAGGAAAGACATGTACAGTTGTTCGAAATTAGTACTCGTCAATTTGGTGATATATCGTTCAACTTTATTAGCCACACATGAAAAAAAAATGAGAACGATTCCAAACTGGCAGGGGGCATCACAAACGACTTGTACGTCCTTTGGATCAATCGATATAATGCTGATGATGAAATAGATGGTCGCAACACGCTCTTGATGAGGGGCTGACGACACAGTGATGAATCCGAGTCATCAGTTAACCATGGCGTCGTTCGGTGTTAAGTGTCGGCTCTGTTTGTCCACGGTCGGCCGATTTCGGTATCGCTTTTCGACTTCCAAGCACAGGGGATCCTCTCTCACGTCTCCGTTTCTTTCACGGGCTTCTGCCGATCACCTTGTGGCTCTCCGCAAACGACACCTGATACACTTTGCAAACGTCCGTTTTCCACTTACGTTTACGACAAATTGACGGTTAATTGCGTTTTAACAAACAATTGTCAAATTTTGGGTCTGTAAAGGTTTTTCTTGTCAAAAAGACCCATTTTTTCGCTTGCAGAGATAGTGGTACGCAACTACTTCATTGACAGCCTAGCAAAACTGAACATTTCACTTCTTTCAACCACATTTGGACCATTGGACCGATTATCATTTTCTCATAAATGAAAATTCTGCCCTTAATTTGTCTCATTGTTTTATCAATAAATATTTGTTTGTTATGTTGTAAATTGGGAATATCAATTAGAGGTAACACAGTTAATGCTTAATCCAAAACAAGGATAAAGCATTTTTCAACGTCAATTTCCATTTTTCAGTCTCATTTGAATTCTGAAGAATAAACTGTTTCGTTTTCAGCTTTGTGTTCTTAATTTCAATTTTTGAACTTAAAATTGACACTGAGGATTCAGTATCAAATGTCGTTGCTTTTATTTTTAGAAGTACTCTCCTTTAACAATACAACATATACTTTCTACATTTAAGTCCTTGCTTTGTAAAACCCAACAAAATTTGAAATGTTTATAAAGAGAATATTTTTCTTAGTAGTATCCAAGCACTATCATTAAAGTGTCTTTTAAACGCTTTCTGTAATTTATTCAATACACTTCCACAAGTATATTGAAAATGTATAACTTACAATCATGTACATTTTCTCAAAGTATATTAACTTTTTCAATTTTGCACAGCTCCATTGCATTTGTCACGTCGTTAAACCAACCAGTGTTAAAACGGATATTTTCACATGCAACCAGCTTTGGATATCATGATGAATCCAAAGACAGCATCCTGACGACTTAGTCTTAGCTTAATTTGATCGCAAAAAAATGTGAACAGTTTCTCTATTGGTCTCCAAATGTAAGAATGCTGTCGGAGACCAAGGAGGATTTCTTAAGAGCTTCTTCAAGAAAAACCTTAGTACTTCTTCATCTTTATGGTGGTACCCCATATCAGCGTAGCATAAAAATGCTCAGATTGTGTATTTAAAAACGTTTATTTTTGCTTCGAAATTGATGTTCTTATTTTCGAAAATAGGAGCCCATATGGCATTAATACCTCGCTTATCCGCTGCATTTCTGTTTGAAAAATGTTTACTTAAGGAAGCGGTATGGTGACGCCTCGATACTTGTATTCGTTAACTATTTCAACATGTAATGGCCATTAAAATTCCATTTTTCAACTCTTTTACCGCCATTTTGAAAGATGATTATTTTCGATTCATCTAGGTTAAATGACAAGTTTCATAGCTTAACATAGTTCTCGATCGCACAAACGATTCATAGGCAGTTTAAAAATGACCAGAAACAGGATCTTCACTGAAGATTCTTCACATCTCAAGAGGACATCTCCCAATTGCATATTTATTTTAGGTTTTACTTTATACAATCGTAATTTTGCTAATCATTTTGAATTTAACTAAAAATTGTGGTTTGTAGCATCATTTTTTTACCAAAATCTGATATGATTGAAAGATAATTACTTAAGTAAAGCATTGAATTTATCAATTTTTTTTAACCAAAATCTTGCAAATATTTTTTTGATTACCATATATTCATACAACAAGCGATACTTACTTTTGTTATGCGATAAACTTTAACTCAATTTATTTAGAACACCGTATTGTATTCAATTAACATACTCACGTGTTTATGAATTATTTCTTGCTGAAAGGACGAGCGTTTTGGTTAATTTCTTACTCGCAGATTAAGTCCAACAGCCAGGCAGGTCATGTTCTTTGGCCCACAAGCAGATATTTGTTTTTGGGTGTCGGCCCACGTGGGGCAAAAACAAGGCTGGACCCGTGTAGGTGGGCGTTGCTATCTATTATCTAACTCCCAACTAATAGACATGTTTGCAAATAGCCCACACCGATGCATATATCAAGGGGTGGGTTGTCCCTTGTCACACCCCTTTTGTTTTTTACCGCACCCCTTGTATTCACGACACCCCGACAGGCTGTGTTCTGGCAACGCACAACATCCCGGCTAATGGCGTCTGTCGGCAGGGTGTCAAGTTTTTTGTGTCTTACACTAGGAAAGACAGAGAACTCAGAACTGTTTCTTTGGGTTTTTGTCCGTTTGGGAAAAATTGGGCAATTATCTTGGACGATAAAGTTTCCAAATAGATCATGTAGAAATATTTTTTGTTAAAACGATTGGTTGCTCAAATTAATGGCCTGCCTGTTCTCGCATTTTTAGAATCAGCCAAAAGGTTTCATGCAGTTTTCAAAAAATCTAAACTGTTTACGAGTCGTTCTTGAGAAATATTAATGAAAGTCTATAAAATTGTTTCATACAAAATTATTAAAAATATGGCAATTTAAAAAAAAATTATACATGCATCAATAAAAAAAAAAGATAATTACATAAGTAAAGCGTTGAATTTATCAATTTAATTTTTTAATGAGTTGGTAAAGCAAACACTTGTGTGTTATTGTCGATACAAAAATTTGTTTTAATACATTTTTTTCTGTTATAACTTGCCATATCTGAATTTCTCTATCACTTGTTAAAATAGTTGGCTCATTTAATTTGTTTAAATTAATTAATTTTTTTTGGTGTCTCTGTGATCTTACGATTTTAGAATCCATCTTAACCATTTCACACTCAGGTATAAATGTGAAAAAGTCATCTTAGCGAATTACCTTTTCTACGGATTTTGGTTTATATAAGAAAACTGGCTTATTTACCCCATAGATTTTAATTCTGTATGATAGGCATTAATTCATATCCGTTTAAAACGAGGTTAAAGAAACCGATTACTTTTATTTTGTATTTATTCATATTCATGGTCTGACTTAATTTGTAACTTAATTTCATACCGTAATATTCTTTTGTTTTCTCAAATCAGTTGAGAAGGGGCGTCGAGAGGGTGTAGACCAAGCTAGGGTTAAGTAGGATTCGCAAACAAGTGATTTGTACTTTACGTGCCATGGACGACCCTTATACCTTTTTCTACCCTTGGTTAATGCCCGGGAGACCGGAATGGGGCAGAATGAAAGAAAAAAAAGTCTCTGAGGTGCTTTTTTTTTATCATTGCCTTTATCTTTCATGTCCCCGTGCTTTATGAGAGACCCTTTTTCATGCCCGGGACTCAGATTAATTGTTATTACCCCGTGTATAATTTTTATTCCCTCCGTAAAACAAAAACGGCTTTAAACTTTTAACTACCGCCTCATTTATGTTTCCCAAAATTACATTTAATCAGCCGTTAAAATTCAACTTAACTATGTTTTAATAATACATTAAGATCTCAAACACAAGCATTAGACGTTCACTAGACTTGAATTGACGTTAAATCTTAGATGCTAAAGTTATATCTTTAAAAAATATATTATATGTGTAAATTTTAATAGCACACTAAAGCTCATTCCAAATACATCAGCTTTAAGACAAGGGCATTATTTATGTTTACAATTAATTAATAGATAAAAAAATAAATAATCGATTATTTTGTTCATACTTTAAAGTCATTTTCATAATTCGTCGTATCTAAAAATAACACTTTATATATAAGATAGATTATTTCTTAGGAAAAATTAAGAGTCATAAAAAATACTGCAAAATACGATATATATTTGTATTTTAATATATTTTTCTTATCTAAATTCATAACTTCACAATCGACGAAAAGGAAACGAACGCTGAAGTTTTTCCAGCCAAGCCCTTATTTTTCTTTTGGGACGAAATCTGAAACAAAAAAATACGGATGAAGAAAAATATTTAAAAAGTCAAGAATTGACGAATATGTTAAGAGATACAAATCTTCTTGACCAAAATTTTTGTACTTGTTATTTTTCGTAAAATAAAAAATAATTAAATAAAGTTATGACTTATAAGTTATGAATGTTAATTATAGAATAAGCGTCAACATTGATTTACTTTATTATGAAAAAAATAAACACATAAAAAGTCAAACAACTAGGACTATGTTAAATATTTACAAAAAATCTGGCAGTTCATACATAATATGTCATTAATGATTATGGTTTTGGTTTGTTTTTCATATGGTAAACACCAACCCAACTAAATGTGAACAATTGTGTACATAGAGTGATTTAAAATAAAATAAAAATTGTTTAAATTAAGTAAAATATATCATGATCAGAAACTACCCTCTCACTCATAAACTCTTCAGGTTTCTCAATAAAGACGTGAAGAGAAAAGATTTGTTGTTTGGAAAACGGAATAATATAATTTAAAACAGCCATCTCACTGGCTATTTCCACCTTCCTCCCAAAAACTGCATTTTGAAAATGTACGAAACTTTTCGGCTATAAAAGAATAATCTGAGGGTCCGATGTTCGGCAAACGCGGATGAGGTAGCACATCCAAGTCCAAGTTTCACAATTTTTGCAGCGTCATCGATGATATGTGAGACCTTGCTTTATCACAGAGGTCTTGCAATTCCATTTGTATTCTCCATTCACAAATCACAAGTGCAAGCTGCTTTTTCTTGATAGCTGCATTAAGTAGTTCACATTCATTCTATTTCGTTTTCATTAAGCGGTTTATAAGTAAAGGATTACTATTTAAATCTCATTAATGAGTACTGAATATACATAGCATCTTTGGGTCAAGACTACTTTCATTGATATTTTTTGTTCATCGCGTATCTTGATGTGATCTTGATTTAATTCCTAATGTTATAATTGTATTAAAAAATCGGGGTTACAGCCAATTGGAAAGAAAGCAAAAGCTGTCGAGAAATTTAACCGTTTCATAAAAAACTTTGAAACTATTTTTATTGATTTAAAAGATTAAAAAATATGAATATCTACTGAAATCGATTGATATATTATAATCATCTTGATATTTTTTAGAAATTTATTTATAGTTATTTGTTTTGCTCAAGCAAGACTTAAATGATACAATTTCCTAGAGTTGTTGAATTGCACCAATGAACCAATAGATTTTCCCCCTGAGGAAAGGTCACTTGGACTAATAATAAAAAAAGTTAATTAATAGCCTCTAAACATGCTTACGCGTATAAAAGAGGTATTAAGTTAGGTACCAGTAGCGTTGTGCGGCGAGAGTCTGCCCACTTCTGCATTCACATGCCAATAAGCACACCAGCCCTCCACCCAATTAACGATTATGGTTATGGTCCTGGTATAATGTCCCAGCTGATTTAACGTCCTCCTCGCAACGGACCATCTCTCATTTTAATGTCTCCTCGGCTTCTCCAACCGCGGAGGCAGAGGTGAGCATATCCCTCAAGTTATGCCCGGGTATAACTCAAAACCCGCTCCTTCTACTTCCACGGCCGGGCCCTTCTCAACAAATCTTCCCCCTTTCTCTTGTTTACCAATGTTCCATTTTGCCGTTATTGGCCGAGTCTGCGTCGTTTGTCAATACCTCCCCTTTTAAGACCGGTATTTCTAAAATAGGTAACAGGCTGGTTACCCTCTGTAAAAGGCGATGGAAAGTTACGTGTTGTAAAGAGACTTTAATGTATAAAACACCATAATGAAAAAACAAAAAAAATATAATCCTTGGAAAATAAAAAAGAACTTTGCACTCATAAGGTAAATATGTGTCAAACTGATATTTTCCTTGACTTTTGAATACTTCATTATATATTAATGGCTAATATCATCTAATTTATTTACACCTAAGGTTCAAAAGTAGTAGATACGTGGTATGATACTCTCTGAAAGTGATGACGAGATGAAGACGACTTTCTTCTAATTATTATTATTATTATTTCCCCCGGTCAGATAGTTTCTAGGGTCATTGCCGGCTCCTCACGTTTTGTCTATCTGCTTTCTCTTTATTACCTCTATATTTATTATTTTATCCTTCTACACATCATTGAAACGCCAAGTCAATTGAAAAACACATTCATACCATTAAAACAATTACCTAGTCGAAGTTTGGCGGATTCGAGAGTTTTCGGTATACTACTGCTGAAACCCTACCCACAAAACTATTCTTCTTTCATTGACATCAATAAATACATTTACAGAGATTAAAAATCACACATTCTCTATCCTAAGTTAACCGAATTAGTTCGACAGTTCTGTAGATAATCTCCATATTCCACACAGACCGTGTCCATATACACTTAACCACTCACGCAAATAAATAATTCAGACAATTGGGTGGTCATAAGGGTTTTGTTAATTCGCTAGTAACTAACCCCTATCACAAAGCAAATATAAATAAATACGGCTTTTTATTTCCTTTGGTACATAATAATTTTTTTATAATGTAATAATATATGGATGTAACGATACAATAATTAAAATCAACTTCTTATTTTTCTTTTTTTTCTTGAAAGAAATTCTTCTTCTTATGCTTTATCTTTTTTACTTTCTTCGTAACACAATCGCAGTTCTCCCTATTTACCAGCGTTCCTCTTGTATGGGAGACGTTGAAGTGTCATGTCTGATCTGGAAGGTTTTTATTTCCAAAATTTCACTCAAATTTTTGAATTATTTTAATGCATCGATGGAAAGCTCCACCGGGCGCAAAATTTTCATAAAGTTTTATCAATATGTAAATAAAACCATAATTTTTGACGTTTTAATCACTTTTACGATCACTAACGTAGTCCCCAAGTATTAAAACAAATGGAATAAATTATACTACTTTAGTGTGTTTGTGTACTCGTGAATCTCGTTATGACATCACAAACACAATCGTTCACGCTAATAAATACTTATTCGGAGATCGTAAGATGCGGTCTGGTGTGACGTAGGTTTTAGAACATTTTCTTTATCCTCTCGTGCCATTAACTTTTTTTCATCTCAACTAAAAACCTTAATTAATTGTCATGAATTAATTGGTCAAGCGGACCACGAAAGTAGTGAATTAATTTTCTTTATTGTGTAAACGTTTCGATCTTTACTGAGATCATCTTTAGGTCCTGGAATGACACATTGAATAACACAATTAGGCAGAAAAAAACCACTTTCAGAGAGTACAGATACTTTGATTGAATATAAAATTTGCTAGCATTGTATAAATTCACTTTTTTTCTCACATCCTACATGTATTCGTAAAATTTAAACAATGTTTATAAATTCCAGTCCCTGAAGATGATCTCAATAAAGATCGAAACGTTGGCACGATAAAGAAAATGTATTTATAAAACCGACGCCACACCAGACCCCATCACACGTTCTCCGAATAATAATTAACTAACGGTCACTAAACACCACACTCACGCTAATAAATACATTCATTCTAGCGAATTTACAATATAAATACTTACTCATGATTATACTTCGTATTTCTCAAATATTTTAAATCAAGTAATATTGCATTAGGTTAATATATTTTACGGATTTATAAATAAATTAGGGCGTAATGATCTTATGAATTTTAAGAAATGTAAATGATACGAAACTGAAATCTCACTTCCAGAATTATCAATCATCATAAATCGATAGTTTTGAAAATAAATATTTATAAATTGCTATGATTTTTACCTTTTTTGTGTATTTTCGTGGTTTGGGTAGAACGTAAAGCTTTCTTGTATTGCATTTTTATAACAACACAAATTTGAAATATTTGTCTGTATACAACTAACATTGTTGTGATCTCTTGCTCAACAACCAATCAACTAAAACGATTCGGCTCGTGCAGTACGAATAATTAACATTAAAAAGGAGTTAAGGCAGCTAAGGTCAGTGCTTTGAAGTTTTGACTTAATTCCTTTGCCTTGACCTACTGTCACCGAATACTTGAATTACACCGCTGTTTAGTTAATCAATTACATAATTTAGAAGGGGAGAAAATGTATTTGTAAAAAAAAACATCGTTGACATGAAAAACTTATTTCAATTTAAGTGATTTTGACATGGACGATGGCTGAAATAAAAAATTATCCTACAATATAAATGATCGCATATTTATCATCCATGAGTACACTGTTTTTGTTTCACATAGACATGCAATAATAACTTTTTGTTTTTTTAAATTTCAGCGTCGTTTACTGTCCTAAAGCGATTAGGGTTATTGCACTTGCTCTTGTAAAGCGCAGGCCATCAACGATTTGCATGCAAATTTTACATTTTAACTTCTGGTTTCCTTAACACATTTTGCAGGTGATGTGGAGCCATTTCGCTCGACCGGTTTTTACTATTAAATTTTCCTGCGTGTTCCACCGGCGCCTTACTTACTTTATTTGGTGGGTTCGTCTCGGCTCGGGGCAGGAGCCATGCCGGATTGGAGATTTAAAATTAACGCGTGGATAGGATGTAGGAGGAATGCCGATTATTATTGTTATTTTTCATTGAACCGAATGAAATTGATAAATTTAATGGTTTAAACTCGTAAAGCATGCTTTATATATTACATAAAGAAATATTTTTGACCAAATAGCAATTGGGTTTGCAGGAAAAGAATTAGATCGCTTTATGATTTTTCGCATTAAATATTTAAAAGAACATTAGGTGGAATTAAACGACTATAAAATTCTCGAAATTATTATATTCAATTAATCTATAATTATCTATGAATTTCAATATTGGCGATGTAATAGAAACAATTTTTAAACAATATTATTTCATAGCGTTATTCATAATTCATTTCATTTCAACCAAAACCTAACATAAAAAGATTAATTACTCGAAAGAAGTAATTTGGTTAAATAGACCACTAAATATAACGGTTAACGATTTAATGAATAAAACGAAGTATAAATTCACTAACTGCTCCCCGTGCCTAATTCATATGTAGCC